AACTAAGATTCCCCCAGGAATACTTTTCCCTGTGGTGGTATGTTGGGCTGACAGGCTTGGGGTTAGTAGGGTTTGGGGATATATGTATTTCATTCCCAAAAGATCCCAGTGGCTCTTGAGCAGGCTTTTGGTGCCAGTAGATGTCAGATTGCTCTTGCTGTGTGAGCGCTGTGTTGATACGTTTTTTATATGAAAATGTAGAGAAAGCTGAACAACATATTCTTGCAATTCAACCAGTTACCAGAATAATATTTGGAAACTAACTCAAGGGGGGTTAAAATAAATCAACAATTTTCCTAGGGGCTTTCACAGGGGGGGGCCCTTAAGCCATGCCCTATCTTTCTGCATTGAGGGTTTCAGTCTCCTTGAAACTTCATGAAGCCGCCAGAACCGGACGGCCATTGCGGATGCCGCATGCGTCGCCGCACCCTGCCACAAACACAATTGAAGACCATGGTGTTTCACCGGAAGTGAAGGTGGCGTTCATCAGGTGGCCCAGGTTTTCACCTGCCCTGAAACAAAAGCTTCTGGAAAGGTGGGAAGCCTTGCCGCAACCCTGGTTTGCGCAGCCTGCTATGCGGAACACAGGACATAATAGGATACTACAGCATACTATATAAAGCCATCTAGAGCCCCGGTGGTCAAACCTCTCGCCCCAGAACGACCTTTGTTCGGTTCAGATGAGCGAAACTAAGCAAGGCTGGCTGTCGCCCAAGAATGGGCGAAGCAAGTGGGACCAACAACTATGTTCCTGATTTTGAGCCGTGCGGGCAATAGACAAAAGTAAACTAGAAGATACTAGGTGGAGGCCATCGCTATTAGGTTGGAGGCCATCGCTACTAGTAACAAGAAGCTTTCTAGTATCTAGAAGCTTCCTTGGGAATCGTTTCACTGGAATCGTTTCACCTGTAGTAACAAGAAGCTTTTTAGTACATCTAATTTGTTCGTGCTGATTTGCACAAGATTTCCTGCCGGTTCGGTCGACTTCTGCACAGGTGAGGAACCGTTTGGGTCAGAAGGACCGGTGCTTCCTGGAAGAACTGGAAGCCAAAGTGCTGGCGTTGATGAGGCACTGCGCAGCCAGTTGTTGTTTTTTGTTTTTACTTTTAAGGGGGCCGGGTAGGCCGAGGTAGCTGCTACTTGTAGTAGAAGCTTGGAGTAGCTAGTACCTGCAAGTAAGCTACTATATACATCTGGACGCAGGACAGCTCATGCTTCCCTGAAGAAGCACTCGCACTATTCATTTGGTTCTTAGATATTTTTTGAAAACTTAACCTTGGAAGCCTTGCAGCAGAACTGATACTTGAAGGGAAGCCATCCTTGCAGGTCAGAGGATTCTCAGCGTCGCGCAGCTGAATTTTGGGGTTGGGCAGCCAGCTTCTTATATATATATATGTATATTTATTTGTTTATTACATTTTTCTAAACACAATTTCTCAATTTTGTGTTCTGTGGAACACCTTTCGTAGGTGGTCACGAATGGAAGCCGAGCTCATGATGCTCATGGCTTCACAGCATCCGAGGTTGGGGACTCCTCTCAAGCCGTTCTGTTCAACTAAGAAGCATGGAGTTCCAGACCCAGTTGAACGGTCACATGCAAAGCATGAATTCTCCAGCTGTGTAGGGCGCATGATGTCACGATGTCATGATTTGAAGGTATCATGCCTACAGTGATGGTGGTTCAGTCATGGACCCTGAGCATCGGGAGCGGCAGGGCTACTTGATCAATTGAATGATGCAGTGAGGTAGCGAGCGGAACGATGGCCTCCACCTAAGAGCAATGGCCTCCAACCTAATAGCGCCTTTGCGGCAGGATGATGGCTCTTTGGTCACCATTTCAGTGCTTCTCTCAAGGCGAAAACGTCAGACAGACGGCCGAGACGGTCGAAGCTTTCGCCTCCGGGCGAAGCTTTCGTTTGGCCGTCCAGGCTGGAAGACTTTCAAGGCGGTGTCTTCAGCACCGAAAAAGAGCACTTCATGCAACGAGGTGGTGGAGCTCGGACACTCAGATGGTGAGTTCGGCGCGACTTTCGCGAGTCGCGTCGCGAGTCACGTAGAATCGAAAGCTGGTCAAGGCCACTTTGTTGCCGATGTCTCTAAGGGACTTGATAGAGAACTCACAAAAAGCTTGGTGTCGTCTTGGTGTTGTTCCTATAGGAATGTTCTAGTGAGAGCTAGTCGCACAGGCCTACAGTGGCCTACAGGCTTTTAACAGTTTGATTCGGAGCTTGGTTTTTGTGGTTTGTTGAGGTCTTGTTTCTCTCCGAGAAGCGACACAATGTCAGCTTCCCAGAGCTATGGGATCCGATGAGAGGCTGATGGTCTCGGACATGGTGTTGAGGTCAAGGCTTCCCATGCTTGTACCTTCAGGTCAGTGCTGTCAAAGGTGAACGTCATACGCTAGTCTTGGAGCTTTGGGATGGGTTTGAGCCCGAGAAGTCTTTGACTACTCTCATTCAAGTCTTGACGTTCTCTTCAACGCCCGGAAACATGCTATCCACAGGTTAGCAGGTTGGTCAATACGGCTTTGTCTTGAGGCCACGGAATGAGCACAGCCGGCACGACTGAGACTCTGTTTCACCAAAAAACAGGTGCTGGTTATGCTACTTGCCGTGAGACTTTTCAGCTTTGTGCTTACACGGCCTTTTTGGAATGTTGGTTTCTTTTCTTGAGACTATGGACTTGAATTCTTGATATGCGTGCCGTATGTGCATGCCTGGAGAGAGGACTTATGAGGAAGAAGCAAAGCAGCGACTAGACAAAGAGATGGAGGACATCAATGGCCCACAGTGCTTTTCAATATGCTTTTCAGCGAAGGATGATTCACCAGTGTGGAGCTTCGCCCACCGGCGATGCCATAAGGGTTGTTGTTGTCGTTGCTGCTGCTGCTGCTGCTGCGTGCCAAAAAGACCCGCAGGCTTGGCACCAAGACAATGATCCCTTTCAGCCTGTGAATATTGCGATGTTTGACAATCGGCAAGCCAAAAAGCATGGTAGTTACTATCTTCTTTGCATTAGGGATCCAAGAGCACTGTATATATCAATGTTTTTGGTCCTCGGCAAGCAATGCCGTGGGATGCACAAACCATGTCTTTTTTTTTCTTACATGTTAGTTGATATTTACGCGGTTTTGCGCATGTTGCAAACAGTGATATGTTCATTCAACATGATCACCTGTCTCCACGAAGGTGCCATCGTGTTTTCAACAAAAGCGTGTGGTCGGTTTCAAATCAAACACAGCATTCCCAGTGGTCAAGCTTGCCCCTGCGAACAATAATTAGCAAGCCACAGCGCATGCCTAGACTCACCCCTGCAACCTGTCCGCCTGTCTCCTGCATCCCTACAACGGCTCTCAGCCCCGGGTTCCACCAATGAAATTCCACGCGGAAAGTCCTCTCCAAGACCCCCGCTCACTGCCTAACGTTGGACAACCACGTTGGACAAAATGATTCTCTGGCGCGCTCCCCGACCGTCGGAAGGGGTCGGCACATTTTAGTGCTCCCCATAGGAAGCTACTAGTAACAGGTGCATCGCTAGTAGTAACAAGTGCCTTACTAGTAGTAACAAGAAGCTATTAGTAACAAGTGCCACGCCATCTCAAGTCCCGTTGTTTGAAGGAGAAAGTGCTTCAAGCACAAGGTCTGAAGCCAGGAGCCACACTGTGCGTACTTCCTTTCATGGCCGAAGTCAGGTATTTGCGACGCTTTCGATGCTTTCTGCTCACACATTTGCAGAACCTGTGGCGCGGCCAATGACGGAGGAAACCCTTCGAACAGATGGCTTGAGAACCAAGAGCGACATTTTGACTCGCAATAATTCAGCACATGGATTGCTCTTGCACTTTGTAGTTTTCAAATCACCAGCTTCGTGGGTATTCAATGCCAGATGGCCCTTGATATTTGCCGAGTTGTGGGTTCACAGTTGGATGTCCTAGTCCTAAGTTGGAGGCCATCGCTAGTAGGTTGGAGGTCATCGTTCTTAGGTTGGAGACCATCGCAACTAGGTTCCTTTTTAATCAAAGTGGCTGACCAGGTTGTGACGAGGTCAACCGTGTTCTACGGACCATCGCAACGGAGCCAGTTCTTTACTTAGTGGTGTTATATCAATACACTCGCCAGCTCTTTTTTTTAGAAAGTTGTGCACAAAGGCGGCTTTACTAATCGTAATTCAGTGATGCACAGTAAATGAAGTCGGCATTGGAAATAGTGTTGGAGATTCAATCGAGGTGGACGTACCAGCACTGGGAAGTGACAAACCATTGCCTCCAAGCTTTCAAGGTGCCACAGATGTGTGGAAAATGATTTCAAAGTCCCAAAACAACTCGATTATAGCGACGGCCCGGAACTTAGAAGGTAGCATTTTCGGCACTTCAAAACAGTAGATAAATTTAGAAGGGGGGGTCCTGCTGCGCACCTTCTAAGTTTACGGGCTGTTTTGAAGTACCATGCATATACCGCTATATGGCACCTTCGCTATATGTATATACTACACACACATATATATATATATACACAAACCCTGTATCTGAAAAGCCTAGAAGAGATCTACC